CTTGTTAATATTAATAAAGTTTATGTTGAATCCATAGCTGGTGTGAGTACTTTCTCGGAGTATGTGGTGGTCAAGGAGATACAGTTGGCTAAAGTATTTATGTTATAATTTTAATATAAGTTATCATTAATTATTAAGTCTTTCCTTTTTAAAGCTCAACCCAAAGGCTGATCTGAAGAATGTTGGCGTAATTGGTTGTGCTGTGGGTACTGGTTATGGCAGTGCTGTGAACATAGCCAGAGTACATCCCGGCTCCAAATGTGCCGTTTGGGGTATGGGTGCCATTGGGTTGTCCGCTATATTAGGCTGTAAACAGGCCGGCGCTGAGACCATAATAGGAGTCGATATAAACTCCGATAAAGAGAGTATTGCCAAACAGTTTGGTTGTACCCGGTTTATTAATCCTAAAAATATTGGTAAGAATTACAAATTGAGCTATTATTTGGATATTTCTAGTGAACACCTCGAGATCTGTAGATAATAATTGTGTCTAAATTATAGCAACTTTAAGATTTAAAATTTTAAAATTAATATTCAGATGAATCACTCGAAACGCTATTACAAAATGAGGGCGGAATTGATTATGCGTTTGACTGTATCGGTAACCAACACGTACTCAACACTGCATATAATTCATTGAAACCCTGGGGATCCCTAACTGTTATCGGTAAATTAGTTTACAAATTATTAAATGATATTTATATGTATAACATACATTTTAATTGATAATAGGCTTGGGATCAAAAGGTAGTAAAATAGATGTAAAAGTAGCGGAACTGGTGAAGGGTCGGTATGTGTTGGGAGGCTTTTTCGGTAATTATAAGCCCAGAAAAGGTAATCAAGAATTGGTTGAGAAGTACTTAAACGGTTCGCTACCTATCGATGGCTTAATCACACATCGGATCCGTTTGGATGATATCAATGAGGCCTTTGAATGTCTAAAGGCCGGCAAATCTATACGAACTGTCATTGAGTTTTAAAACATTAATGATAAGAAATACTTGTTATCACACAAAATTATGTGTAAAATTTTAATATACATGTGTAGTATAATTAAAAGTATCAATGTCAAATATTAACATATCTCTAAAATCGTGTTTTTTGTCATTTTTAATGTTTGTGATTACAGAACAAATATTATTTTTATATTCAAAGTATTCAAATAATGTTGCTCATAATTTTCTTTATAATTTTAAGTCTCATAAACAAGAAAATGTTTTCATATAAAATTTAATTCGTTATCAATGAATCAATAAATCAATGATATGGTTTTATATTCAAAGTATTCAAATAATGTTGCTCATAATTTTCTTTATAATTTTAAGTCTCATAAACAAGAAAATGTTTTCATATAAAATTTAATTCGTTATCAATGAATCAATAAATCAATGATATGGTTATTATCAGGTCACACTTAGTTCACTGTTTTAATAAATGTTTGAGTTTAATGTCATAGTTTTGCACTTATAGCCCAAACATTTTAAACGATTAGATAAGAATTTTAAAATAACATTTGTTCTGACAAGTTATTTTAAGTTATACTGTATTTTGTTAACTTATGTTTAGCAGTGTTCAGTCGAAAATTAAGTTTTTAGAGCAATAATCAATTCATTAGCAATGACTTCAAAGGTCTGTAAAAATTATGTTTGCACCCTGGACAGTACAGTATAATTATAATGAGACAATTATTAAGGCACAGGTAATCAACTGTAAGGCTGCCGTCCTCTGGAAAGAGGGAACACCACTAACCGTAGAGAATATTACTGTCGACCCACCACAAGAGGGTGAGGTAAGGGTGCGTATGGTATCGGCCGGTCTATGTGCCAGTGACGCCCACTTCATATGGGGCTGGGAGACAGACATCATACTAGACTTCGAGGGAAACCCAATTGTACTGGGTCACGAAGGGGCTGGTGTGGTCGAGTCTGTAGGGCCGGGTGTGACTAGTGTTTCAGTAGGCGATCACGTAATCCTGTTGTGGACGCCTGACTGCGGTCGGTGTGCCCTCTGCTCTCATCCGAAGACAAACCTGTGTCTCAGCGATGACTTCGTTTCGGTTATGTATCACAAGAACAAAGAGACGCGACTGAAGATCAATGGAAAGCCATTGCTTTCATTCAGTAAATGACACCATATTTTAGATATTATTTATT